TGGTGAGGTTGTGATGGATAGTAACTCCGTGGGCTACAGTTTACCTGCTAAGTGTCATGTTAAATTGCCACTGACAATGGAGTACGATACATTGATATCGTTGTTATGCAAAAAAATGAGTGTGAGGAAACGTTCGGTGATACTTAAAGTAACCGGAAGAAATCCTTATTCCGTCACTCCGCAAGGGGTTGTTTTTTACTCGGAGTTTAATATCGACGATGATGAAACTTTGAGTGATTTTTTGAGGACTCCGGACGAATGTCGGGATTTTCTTGTAATCACAATGTTGGAGATGTACGTGAAGGTCGAAGACATTCCAAAAAATGAGGTTGTGCGTAGTAGAGATAACCCCCAGTCATCGGGTGGTTATTCTGGAACGCCGGACAAGTTCCGGATGAAAGAGTTATCTTTGATTTAAACTTATCACCGCCGGTGAATGAGCAGCGAGAAAATAATTTATACCCTGCTTTCCATAATTCACAAGACGAGTGGTAAATTTCAATTTTCATTTGTGTTAATTATGTATATTTTTGTTGTATTAAATTTGTATTAACGCTCACATATTTAATAGGGGGTACCGTCCGGATATGAATTTTACAAGTGGCCCATCCGGTAGTCATCACCTAATTGATAACGTCCATCATGGAATTTCATCACATTACGACTTGTAAGTGAAGTGATTTACGCAAAATATGGAAATCATTTATTAATTTAGTAGCTTATATTTTTGTTGGTTGTGCAGTGAAAACGAGCAAGTTGAACTCACTCAATTGCCCGAAAATGATGTATTACATCGGGACCTGGCAGATGCACAGAGTGAGGAACAGAACAGTGATTACGATAACAATGCGGATGAATCCGGGGATGAGACACCCTTTGCTCGTGAGGATGGTGATGCAGAGGATGAGGAGGAAGGACCTGATTTGAAGAGAGACCCCCCTAGACGAAGAGTGTATGAGTCCGAAGTGCCGTTTCATTCAAGAGAGATTCCTTACATTGATAACTTGCCAACCGTGCCGGATGTGGAAGCTCTCACAAGGGATTTTGATGAAATCCGGACAGCAATGTGGGATGAGTCTAGACCAACAGTGCTTGCAAAGGGGATGTTTTTTCCTGATAAAGCGCGCCTAAGCAGGGCTTGTAAAATGCACAACGTAAAAGAGTGTCATGAGATGCAGGTATGGGAGTCAAGTCCGACGGTATACAAGGTTGTTTACCGCAGGTGGTTTTGGCCATGTAATTGGATGTTGCGTGCGACCAAGAAGAAGACAAGTATGTGGAAAGTGGGTAAATACATTCCCACCCACACATGCGAAATGGACACATTCAACGGGAATCACTTCAACTTGGATATTGACTTGATTTCTCTTGTTCTTATTCCACACATCGAACAGTCCATAAGGTATAAAATCAAAGAGTGCATTACATCAGTCCAGCAGGAACATGGCCATACCATTACTAAAAGAAAGGCATTTCTCGGGCGCAAACGAGCATTTGAAATAGTGTATGGTAACTGGGATAAGTCATTTGCAGATCTGCCTAGGTACATGGCTGCACTACAACATTTTAACCCCGGGACGGTTGTTGAGTGGAAGCTTGAGCGAAGTGCAGGTAAACCAGAATATATATTCAATTACGTGTTCTGGGCGTTTAAACCAGCAATTGATGGTTTTTCGCATTGTTGCCCCGTAATATCCATAGACGACACTCATGTCTATGGAAAGTACGATATCAAGCTGTTAATAGCTGTGGCAGTAGATGCTAATGGACAGATATTTCCTCTAGCTTTTGCTATTTGTGCCAATGAAAGCCAAGAGACGTGGACGTTATTTTTGAACCATATGAAAGAGCACGTTGT